AGAAGGCGGGCTGGCGTTCGTTGGAAATAAGAGGAATTCAGTAATTGACTATAACTGTACAGTGTCTCTCAACTAAAGCTTAAAAAAGGAAACTGAAAAATTCACGACAAAAGATGGACTGCATTCAGACCAATTAATCGGGTTAGAGAAATAAATACAGTTCCAAGCTCGGAATGTACCCCTCACAATCAGCGATTCAGGGCACTGGAAAGAGAAAGGTATACAAACGAAGTTAAGCATAGATAAACAAAGTTAATTTTAAGGGAACGGAAGTAAAGAAAATGACGAGATACTTATTTCAGAGAATTGGTCCATGAACAAAATCGAAAGAAGTTTGTCCGTGAATAAAACAATAAGAAGAGAACAGTGATCATAAAGAATGTATGTATTGGAGGAAAATGAACGCCATGCAAATACACAGTAAACAATGGCACAAAGAAATGTAATGAAAAGATATAACTCGAAATGCAAAGACAAGGACGAACAATTCTACGTAAAATGAGGAAAGGAAACTAAAAATCAATTAAATACAAGAATATAAAATGATATGTACAACGATACATGTATGTATATATAATGTAATGATACCTATAGTGATGTTCATAAAAATGATATAAAATGTATATAGTAATATATTTATATATAATAGATGATATATATACACAATTCATAATAATATATTTACTTATACATTTATATTTATATATAATAATATATACAATGGAAAGGAAAGGAATGAACAAAAATTATTTTATTTTAAATTATTTTAAAAGAAGAGTTTTTGATTAGAATAACAAGGAAACTATAATATGGGTGGGCAAAGAAATAATCTATGATCTAAATAATTTAAAGAAAAGCTTTATCTTCCACAACAGTTATAATGAATACCGATTCGTCCGCGGATTCTGATTACTCTCCCAATGCCTGTTCTTACCTCGATCCTCCATCGGTCGCATAAAATCAATAACGCATTAATCATGCATTCATTTATGAATTTCAAACGTTCCTGTAGTATGTCATCAGGTACTATTTTATTATGATTGAATCGAGCAATTATCATATCGATCGCATCTCAATTCAGATTTGAACATGTTTAATTGTCATTTAAATCAACATACATGTTATTTCCATTTATTGCATAATTATAAGATTATTAGTGCAACATTATCGAACGTATATTGAACGTATAAAACGGCGTGCCGTATAACCGCTGAAACTAATTGAAGAGTGGCAATTGTGTACGCAAATATAAGTCGAAAATATACAATACAATTGTGTAATAACCATGTCCATCTATTGTTTATCAAGACATGATTGATTATGCGCTAACTGCATATTTGCAAGTTAACGAAAACAAAATTTTGTAAGTGGTATTTATCAAAAGATGAATAACCTTTTGGGAAAAAACGATTCTGTATATCAAGATAAGCTAATAATCGAATGTGACACAAAACAAAATTTTCTTCAAATTTTATTCAATATAATCTTTCTGAAATGTAGCATCCCGTTAATACCGGTGTACGCGTGTTGTATTATCTAAAATATTTTTTCAGATGTGAAAATTCATCTTTACGTTAATCTATCGTCTTAATTTTATCAGGAATGTTGATAATGCAATTGATGCCTTTTTAATTTCCAATTTTAATTCGATGCAATAAAATGCCATCATTTTATGAAATTTTTCAGGTTACTGGCGTGAGAAACGAAGTATTAAAAATTCTTGATTTCGATCTATCTGTAATCGGGCAAGTCGTATAGAAAATTTTATTCTATGTTTTCGGCTTAGTTTTGTATATACATAGAAGTTTTTCTCGTTATGTAATACGCTTAACGGCAGAATAGCTACGAATCTTTCATGTTTGCTCGAAAACGAATGAAACGCAAATGGCGAGGAGACTTTACGACTTGGCTTTCTGAAATCAATCAACTAGTTTACGGTTGACTGAACAGGATGCGTACCAGCAGAGATTCTATTTTTCCAAACAAATGAGGGTGGGACAATATCGTTTATACTACACGTCACATACACACAGTATTCACAATCACACATAATCACACATATTTATTTGTAACGTCCGGAGTAAACCACAGCGTCATCGTGTGTATTTAATTATTGAACGCTGATAGCCCAGCAGTTGCATCAGAAATTCTAATTGTATATTTGCGCTAGTTGTGCGACGTTCTTGTGTATTATCGTTGCTTCAGAATTATTCTCTGTCGATACTTTTGTATGTATGGAAGTTTTGCTTGTGTGCACTGTTCACGTGCATACAAATATTGTTTCTGAATGTGCAACGTTGAAGAGATTAAACAGTTAGCGAATACCAATACCGTGCAAAAGATTGTTCAGAAGGATTTAGCAATTCATTTTTCACAATCGTTCGATATTATACAAATGTTAATGCGCAGCATTGAACTTTATTTACGATCTGAAATAATGGAAACGAAATGGTATATTCATTGTTTGAAAATGTAGAATTTTGAAGAAAAATTAAATTTACGAATTTTTTCATAAGTGTTAATAATAGATTGATATAACTATTAAAACTAATAATACACTGTTAAATTATTTATAGTATCTGCCATATATTTGTTTAACTTTCAATTGCTTTCAAATTTAAAATAAATTGTATTATATACGCACAATAATTAAATCAGATAGTTATTCTGTCATTTCGATTAGTGTAATGCCAGATTTCATAATTATTTAATATGTACGCTACTGGAATTAGAATTTAATTCGCGTAATGAATATCCAATTTCGGATTACACGTTTAGTTATCGTTGTATGTTGTCAATGACAACTATTATTACTTGTTTAACTATATTGATATATTTTTTCTTCATTATTTCTTCATGGCGTATTACAAAAGCTTTTTTGTTTCTTAAATTAGTTTCTCTATTTATTAAGCAGACGGAATTAATTATTTGTTCATTAGTTGTCACTTGACTACCATCGTTGATATTCATCTTTTCACTAACAGACCGCGCGCGCGCTTTACTGTCAGGCTGACCATTTAAAAGCTATTGCAAGGAATGAACAATGGCCGCAGTGTTACAGCAGATCTCTCTCAAAGGAACTATTACAATTTCCATCATTTCCACCAAACGACAATGATTTATGTGTTTATGAAATAGAGTATTAATGCTTCGTATTACAAGAATTTGATATTATCCTTTAGTTACAGTTGTAGCTATTAGTTTAATGAGAAATTCATTACGCAATAACATATTATCATAGCATAGAGTATGCAATTCAATTGTAAATAAATCTAAGCTAGTGAATGAAATCATAAATATCTTCAATTTCATCTTCTTAAATGATATTCTTTTAATGAAATTATTGAGATATTACCCAAACGTTCAGTTTCGTTGTAACATAATAATTGCATTTAAATTGATTACATTTCAAATTATTGTAGGTGTAAATTATATATACAATCGAATCACGGATTATATAAAATTGATTTAATCAAAATCAAAAAGAGTTTTATTTTTGTCGTAATTTTTTCAATTTTCCGATCAACGAAGTCATTTCACTTGATCTCGATAGAGTAGGAACAACAGGCATTTAGTTTTCATAAAAAGGACAGAATGGAGCAGATTTTCGTGTAAGATGAAAAAAGGAAAGCAAAGAAAAAAGGATCATCGCAATTATTTTGCACGGTATTGCGCATCCAAGTTACCGCTTACATTCGAAGCATTCGCTTGAAATCGCTTAGAAAAAGCTCGCGCTAAACAGATTAAATCGAACGCTGAGAAACCATGGTGAAAATTATTCATTGAATCATCATCGAGAATCCTTGGTTTTCACGAGCGTGTCTGTTGAATCGAAAGAGTCAGTTGAATCAAAAAAAAAAGAAAAAATGAAAAATATAATAGCAATCACGAAAGCAAGTAAATCAACATTGGGAGCACGTTGACGCAAATTTATTATTATCTTGGCGAGACTTCTCCAATTCATTAGGATATCTGCTTAGCGATTAGTTTGATTTTTTCAGTGTCGAATTTGTTTGTTCGTCATGCTGCACAAATAGTTGAAAGCGAAAGGCATCTAGTTTGACGAGGATATTTTTATCGCTGATATAGTTGACTCTAGATACTTACTTCCGTGGGAAAGAAGAGAGACTCGTTTCTTTCTTCATTTTCATCCGGACTATATTTTTTAGTGTTTTTTGCTCCCGTTGCGCTTGTTGCGAACACTAAGTGCATCACGAGACATGCACTATAAACTTTACGTTTCGGAATTTATTGTTCGTACTTAGCCCGTTATGAGAAACGTGCAGCCGGCAGTTGAAAATTCCAGTGTTTCTTCGTGCGTTTATTTAACGAAGAATATCGCATCTGCTTGGAACGCGGGCGACATGCGAATTTCACAAATAATCAGAGATGATTAATGTGAAAAGAGTTAATCAGAAGTAAGCTAACGTTTCTACAATAATAATAATAATAATAATAATAATATACATTGCAGTTTAATGATTTCGTGAACATTTACAATCTGAATTGATTTCTAAAAATAATAGAGTTTTACTTACAGTCGCGATCACAATTATCTAGAAAATTCTTCTTACATACGATCTACGTTTTATTTTGCATGTAATTTACTTCTATAAATCCAGTCCCTGCATCGATCGTTATTATATACCTTCATCGTTATTTCTCCATGTTAATTATTTGAGAATAGTAATTGGAAGTTTTAATGAATAAAAAAGTTTTACCCAATCTTTACATCATGTATCGATATTCCGCAGAACTAACGTAAAACTGCAAAGTTATCATTGAGAATCTCTGAACAATTAAGACCTTTGAGTATTGTAATCATTGGAATACGAAAATCATATATTATTTGGTTCAATGTACCGAGTAATCTATGTGTTCCAATCGAGGCTGCACGTTTGTCTTTCAAAAGTAAATTAAGTGGGCATGAGAATTACTGATTTAGAAACAATATTACTGTAGAACGAGCCTAATTCGAAAGATTTTTATGTTTCGCGTAGGTCGACCTAAGGCACATGGATGAGAAATCCGGAAGTAACGTGGTGGACGTCGGCGTCGACCTCTCCGAGTTCTACATGTCTGTAGAATGGGACATTTTAGAAGTGCCTGCTGTACGGTGAGTACCGTCCTTTCATTTGTCTACCGACAATCAACGAAACCTCCATGTACTCGTACAATTATTTCCATTATCACAATACAATATGTTGAAATCGTTTTGACCCCTTTGCACTCGGATGTCCTCCCTGAGGAAACGTAAGAAATCTGCTGATAATTATGATACTTAAACACTCGAACGTCGCGGCGTTCAGTTCAAAAGCACCTCAAAAGCTGACCAAAATAATTTTATTCGTTTTTTGTGAGAACAAAAGTATTTGAGAATAACATAATGCCATTACTTACTAGAATTGAGAAAACGAAACATACACAAGATAAAAAATTTAAAAATAAAACATGTTTTTTAATATTATTTTTCTTATAATACGAGAAAATGATTGTATCGATCTATTTATGCGCCATTCATGAATATATGTAGTCAGAGAGCATACGAAGCTCTCGTTTTTGCTTTTATTCATGTTATGCCTTGTACGTTCATATGGTTGTTCGTAATTTACATTTGCATGTATACTTCATTACGCATTCTTAATAAAATCACAATTATTGTATCGATACCGATTTTATGAAACAAAATTCGTTCATTTTGAAAGTATCACAATAATCAGCAGTTTTGTTACATATAATAGTTTCGTTGTTACTTATATATAGAAGATCAACAACAATATCTCGACACTATTCAACACTTTTCATTTGTCCTATCCTGCGATGAGTCACCGGGTAGAAGATATCCAATATTTCATGTGAAAGCAATGATTCCACTTGACAGTTCAGCCATCGGAATTCCAAAAGAAATTTCACTGGATCAATAGTCGAGAAATTTAATCTGTTATAGACACCTTTCATGTCATTTGACAGAATTGCGCTCTAAAGACTGCCCTTCCCTGAAAAAGGACAAAGGGGAATTCCGATGTCACATTACCGCCGTTACGTTTTTGCCGTGAAAATAAACGAAGATGATGCTTTCATTCTTATTCTTTTTACTTCGAACAGTTCCTTTGTCTGTCTGATTACTGTTTTTGTTGATGCTCAACACGAATACGTATGTAGCATGTAACGAAGATATTTGAACACAAACACAGTTTTGTCATTGACTTTATTAGACTTCATTGATGCCGTTTATAAAATTTTATAAATAATATACTTTTAATAAAAGATGGTATAAATTAATTTATGCTTGTATAAGATTTGCGAAAACTATCGTATATGTAATGAAATATCAAATGTGGTCGCGAATTACCTCGATGTTAATGCGATTTTAAATACAATAAATGAAAGAAAAGGTTCAATTTTAATGTTATAGAAATATTACACAATGCAATGATTACCTAATAGGTATTAGTGATTCAAAAGTACTAATGCCAATCTGATGGGCATTCTAATATCTTAATCAGTTAATTTTATGGACATTTCTCAAAGATTTGAAGGAATAATCGTTAAAAATATTGCTAATGTTCAGTAAGAATTTAGAAACTAATAATAATAATAAGTAGTGTTGAACATACAATACATGTAACAATCCTGTATTTGCTAAACAGGCTACCTGGTTTAAAACATTAATAAATAAATAATTAATATTAGGGAACGTCGAAGATAACATTGTGGAGTGCAAAGCTATAGTTTGTGTACATAGTTTCGAGAGAACCAATCCTCTGAAAGCAAAATGCTTTAGGGTGGGTAATTCCTTTACTCAAAGCCACAGATAAGAATTTGCTGAGTGAATTCAGACATGAAATGTGAATGTCTCACGCAGAACAATTTTTCCCGTATTTTTGTCGCAAAGATGCTCGTTATTAATGCATAAATCATTCTGCTCAACTTTGAATGGCATTTTATACTTTATGAATACTTTTTTATACGTAATATATTCATGTGTTGAAGAGTTACAATATGCATCGTTTTCAAATATGCAGTTTCGAAATATTTCCAGTCCTGTGACCACCGTAATTTTGCAAACAATTACATGAAATCGTTTTTAAATATTCTCAAAAAATGAGGCTTTGAAAATTAAAAATTAACGAAAGCAACTTTTTGAAGTTTTAGTACTGTTGTATCTCCTCAAACAATTTCTTGCAATGTTTTACTTAAAAATGTGGAAATCTCGCAATGTGAGAGAACTTCATTTGTTTCTATTTATATATTTGGTGTGTATTTGGTGTGTATGTCAATAGTTCATTACTTTGGGTTTATATATAATCGTATTGTATAGTAATGCAGTATATTTTGCAGAGAATAATTTTTTTCTTTTTACGACACATAATTCCCTTACATTTTAATTTTCGACTTGTTCGACGTAGACTAATTGCAATGTTCTGCTTTCCTTTGTCTTAGAAACGAAAAATTTTACACCTGCTGCGACGAGCCGTACCTGGATATCACCTTTAATATAACGATGAGAAGAAAAACGCTTTTTTACACTGTGAACATTATTATTCCGTGTATGGGAATATCCTTTCTTACGGTCTTGACGTTTTATCTGCCCAGCGATAGCGGAGAAAAGGTGAGTCAGAGACATCTCAATTGCGGAAGAAATTTTCGAATCGTAAAGGGAAAACAACAAAGCCGGAAAGTAAACGCAATTAGGTACTATTCAAATGATATTTTTAACCTGGTGAGATTAACAATTTAAGCGTTATACAGTAATTCTATTTTTATAATACAAAATAAAGTTAAATTAGATAACAAAGTTGCTTGATGTGAAACTAATTTCTTTAAAAAATCATAATTAACTATAAGAAATATTTTCACTTTTCGTACAGATTTTAAAAGTACGATATGTATTGTTTTTCTACTAGAAAATACAGTAAACAACATTTGATACTTTTATAATGACATAAGAATGAAAATTATCTAAATGTAGAGACAAAAATATGCGTCCCTATGTGAGGGAAATTAATTTTGTACTACATGTTTAATAATCGAAATCAATTAAACAATATCTACAGCAAATTGTACACTTCTAAGATTTCAATAAAAATATTTAATATTAATCGTTTTAAAATTTTGTACACATAGCTACGAATGCTTTGTGTATTGTGTAAATATTTTTATTAAAGCCTTATATAATTACAAATGTACTTCTCTATATACTATAAATATTCCGCACTATAATAATAATATAATATTAAACTATATCGATCCCTTCGGTACAGTCCACAGAATCCTATTGTGTAGATTAATATGGTGCAGCTATACACGAGAATTGCAAAAGGAAATTAAAAATCCATATTCAGTTCTCAAAGAGTTACTAAAAATGTTTACTTAAAGTTACAAATCCGAATACCTCTACGAGTCGAACAGGACAATTGTACACTTAAAAGTATCAAAGCTTTAAATTTTAAGCATTTCTGCATGTTTGCATTATCACCCGACTCCTGATTCCTTGTGGTTTTAGGATTGTGGGAAGACAATAGCACATTCGACGTGTTTCAAACATTCAAGCCGATTCGTACATTAAGCCGTTCGAGCAGGCTTTTGCTTGCCGAGACTTGAAACGGCTCGAACATCAAACCGGTCAAACTTCCGACTAGTTTGAACCTAAAGTGGTCGAGTAGATCTACCACTATGTACATCAATAATTTATGGATTCATCGACGATCTCATTGTGACAAACATTTGCAAACGTTTTATAAATCTTCCGAAGGTAATGTGAAATCAAAAGAAATTTATTAAAGATAGTGTCAAAACAAATTATTCCAGTAAAGACAATAGTAAAGCAATTGTTCGAAATGAAAGTTGTACGAGAAACAATTTTCTTCTGTCATAAAAACGCACTGTACTGATTGATTACACTGGACTGTGGATTTTATACTGCCGAGGTAAAATACAATACTGTAAAGACATTAAGAAAGTTTCAGAATATTTCTGTTTGTTTCATGATATATTAGTATTAATTTTATATTTTATTTTTACATATTTTATATATTTTTTACATATTATACAACATTTTATTCTGTAAAACTTATTGAAGCGATTAGGAGATGGAGAACATTTCTATCAGTTTTACGTTCTTTGCAATTAACAGATAATTTTTATTATTCATCGTATAAATTTGTTCTAATGACATTTTTGAACATTAATCTCTTAGCATACAACTTTCTTCACCGTTGCAGTGATAAAAACTGATTTGACTGTAATTGTTACTTAAAAGTGAACAATAATTTATATGAATNTTTTAACCTGGTGAGATTAACAATTTAAGCGTTATACAGTAATTCTATTTTTATAATACAAAATAAAGTTAAATTAGATAACAAAGTTGCTTGATGTGAAACTAATTTCTTTAAAAAATCATAATTAACTATAAGAAATATTTTCACTTTTCGTACAGATTTTAAAAGTACGATATGTATTGTTTTTCTACTAGAAAATACAGTAAACAACATTTGATACTTTTATAATGACATAAGAATGAAAATTATCTAAATGTAGAGACAAAAATATGCGTCCCTATGTGAGGGAAATTAATTTTGTACTACATGTTTAATAATCGAAATCAATTAAACAATATCTACAGCAAATTGTACACTTCTAAGATTTCAATAAAAATATTTAATATTAATCGTTTTAAAATTTTGTACACATAGCTACGAATGCTTTGTGTATTGTGTAAATATTTTTATTAAAGCCTTATATAATTACAAATGTACTTCTCTATATACTATAAATATTCCGCACTATAATAATAATATAATATTAAACTATATCGATCCCTTCGGTACAGTCCACAGAATCCTATTGTGTAGATTAATATGGTGCAGCTATACACGAGAATTGCAAAAGGAAATTAAAAATCCATATTCAGTTCTCAAAGAGTTACTAAAAATGTTTACTTAAAGTTACAAATCCGAATACCTCTACGAGTCGAACAGGACAATTGTACACTTAAAAGTATCAAAGCTTTAAATTTTAAGCATTTCTGCATGTTTGCATTATCACCCGACTCCTGATTCCTTGTGGTTTTAGGATTGTGGGAAGACAATAGCACATTCGACGTGTTTCAAACATTCAAGCCGATTCGTACATTAAGCCGTTCGAGCAGGCTTTTGCTTGCCGAGACTTGAAACGGCTCGAACATCAAACCGGTCAAACTTCCGACTAGTTTGAACCTAAAGTGGTCGAGTAGATCTACCACTATGTACATCAATAATTTATGGATTCATCGACGATCTCATTGTGACAAACATTTGCAAACGTTTTATAAATCTTCCGAAGGTAATGTGAAATCAAAAGAAATTTATTAAAGATAGTGTCAAAACAAATTATTCCAGTAAAGACAATAGTAAAGCAATTGTTCGAAATGAAAGTTGTACGAGAAACAATTTTCTTCTGTCATAAAAACGCACTGTACTGATTGATTACACTGGACTGTGGATTTTATACTGCCGAGGTAAAATACAATACTGTAAAGACATTAAGAAAGTTTCAGAATATTTCTGTTTGTTTCATGATATATTAGTATTAATTTTATATTTTATTTTTACATATTTTATATATTTTTTACATATTATACAACATTTTATTCTGTAAAACTTATTGAAGCGATTAGGAGATGGAGAACATTTCTATCAGTTTTACGTTCTTTGCAATTAACAGATAATTTTTATTATTCATCGTATAAATTTGTTCTAATGACATTTTTGAACATTAATCTCTTAGCATACAACTTTCTTCACCGTTGCAGTGATAAAAACTGATTTGACTGTAATTGTTACTTAAAAGTGAACAA